AAAAAAAAAAAGAAATGCAAATCAAAACTACATTGAGATGCCATCTCATGCTAGTTAGAATGGCGATCATTAAAAAATCTGGAGACAACAGATGCTGGAGAGGATGTGGAGAAATAGGAATATTTTACACTGTTGGAGGGAGTGCAAATTAGTTCAACTATTGTGGAAGACAGTGTGGCGATTCCTCAAGGACCTAGAAATAGAAATTCCATTTGACCCGGCAATCCCATTACTGGATATATATCCAAAGGCTTATACATCATCCTATTATAAGGACACATGCACATGAATGTTCATTGCAGCACTGTTTACAATAGCAAAGACTTGGAACAAACCCAAATGCCCATCAATGATAGACTGGACAGGGAAAATGTGGCACATATACACCATGGAATACTATGCAGCCATAAAAAATGATGAGTTCGTTTCCTTTGTAGGGACATGGATGAACCTGGAAACCATCATTCTCAGCAAACTGACACAAGAACAGAAAAATCAAACACCACATGTTCTCACTCATAGGTGGGTGTTGAACAATGAGAACATATGGACACAGGGAGGGGAGCATCACACATGGGTCTGTCGGGGGGAACTAGGGGAGGGACAGCAGTGGGTGGGGAGTTGGGGAGGGATAACATGGGGAGAAATGTCAGATATAGGTGATGGGGAGGAAGGCAGCAAACCACATTGCCATGTATGTACCTATGCAACAATCTTGCATGCTCTTCACATGTACCCCAAAACCTAAAACACAATTATATATATATATATATATATATATATATGTACACACAAAAATTAGCTGGACGTGGTGGCATGTGCCTGTAGTCCCAGCTACTCCGGAGGCTGAGGCAGGAGAATCACTTGAACCCAGGAGGTTCAAGACTGGAGCAAGACACCATTTTTAAAAATAAATATATAAATAAATAAAGAATTAAAGGCCAGGCACGGTGGTTTACACCCGTAATCCCAACACTTTGGGAGGTCAAGGTGGGAAGATTGCTTGAGTCCAGGAGTTCCAGACCAGCCTGGGCAACACAGTAAGACCCTGTCTCTATTACAATAATAAAATACATTAAAAAAAAATTTTTTTTGAGACAGAATCTCAATCTGTCGCCTAGGCCGGAGTGCGGTGGCACCATCTCGGCTCACTGCAACCTTCGCCTCCCTGGTTCAAGTGATTCTCCTGCCTCAGCCTCCCCAAGTAGCAGAAATTATAGGCATGCGCCACCATGCCTAGCTAGTTTTAGGGTTTCACCATGTTGGCCAGGCTCGAACTCCTGACCTCAAGTGATCCACCCGCCTCAGCCTCCCAAAGTGCTGGATTATAGGTGTGAGTGACCATGCCCGACCCAAATAAAATTTTTGAAAACTAAATTCATATAAAACTTAAAATTTAGTTCCTCAGTCACACTCCAAGGATCAATATACCACACAGGCTGGTGGTTACCCTGTTGGACAGAACACCTTTAAACCTCCCAGGCCTAGACCCCTTGCCCTCTGCCAGACTAGTATAACAAGGAAATTGAGTCAGGTGATAGTGTTCCCCCAACACAGATGGTCTGAGAGAACACCAAAAGACCTGCTTTCCTCCTACTCAACAACATTCACCAAATAGCAGCTTCCTAGGGCTCTGTCTCCATTCTCCATTCCCTTCCTGCTCCAGAAAGGACCCTGAAGAACCCAGCCTATCTCATGCACCTGTTCTTTCTGCTGTAGCTCCTGCTGCTGCTGGGCCATCAGCCACCTCCTTCGGTCCAAAGCCATCTGCCGGCGCCGGGCCTCCCAGTGGTAGGCACTACTCATGATCGTGGGATGGTGTGAGGCCTCAGGTTGGGGTGGGGACAGGCAGAGCCCACTGCTCCTACCACTTCTGTCTCTTCCCACTTGGACCCCTCTGCCTGTAAGTGGAACCACCTCACAATGTGGTGACTACCAGGGCAACTGAGCAGGCCCCGCCTGCTTTGTTGAGGGAGGGAGGCATTTTTCCCAAGTCTCCTAGGGAACATCTGCAAAGTGTCTTTCTAGAAGGGCTTCTAGTATCTAGAAGCCCTTCCCACCTTAGCTTTGAGTCTCAGTGGGCCCCATGGACAATTCAGCAGTAGTCTTTTCTCTCTGGCTTCTTTCCTCCACTCTTCCTCAGAGGCTTCCAGCATCATCATCTGGCCTTTCCTCTGCTGATCCCTCCCCGCTTAGGTCTCTGGAATTACCTTTTTCTTCTTAATGTCTCCACTCCCATCTCCCCTCTAAATGCGCTGAGTCAGAATGAAAGAAAATACAAAATCCTACTAAGCCTCACTAGTTCTCAGCCCCCAGAACAGGTCTAACAAAGGGGCTTATTAGAAAACACCCTAGCTCTGGAGATTTCTAACGCTGGACTCAAGCCTAGCATCTACCTCTTCCTATAATCCTGGAGACCCTACCTAACCTGTCTGGGCATCAGTTTCCTTGCCTGTAGAATAAGTGATAACTTGTTACCTTCTTTCACACGGCCGGTGTAAGGATCAAACAGAATAATGGATGGGAAATAAAAGATAAAGTATAAAATTGTTAGCTACAGGTTGGAATTATCATTCTACCTGACCCTTCCAGGGACTGTGTCCCCAGCAGGTGGAGTCAGCAGGTGAGAGGATTATTCTCTGAAGCCTAGGAAGGCTTTTGGGAATAGGGACCGTGCATTTAAGATCACCCCAAGTGGCCGGGTGAGGTGGTTCACACCTGTAATCCCAGCACTTTGGGAGGCTGAGGCGGGTGGATCATGAGGTCAGGAGATCAAGACCATCCTAACACGGTGAAACCCTGTCTCTACTAGAAATACAAAAAAATTGGTTGGGCAAGGTGGCACATGCCTGTAGTCCCAGCTACTTGGGAGGCAGAGGCAGGAGAATCGCTTGAGCCCAGGAGGTAGAGGTTGCAGTGAGCTGAGACTGCACCACTGCACTCCAGCCTGGGCAACAAAGGGAGACTCCAGCCTGGGCAACAACAACAACAACAACAAAAAAAAAAAAGATCACCCCAAGTAGGCCATTGTCCTATCTCCTAAATATACACACACTTTTACCCAGAGATATAAGTCTTTCTGAAAGCAGTGAGCCCAAGTCCAGCTTCAGGGCTTGGGGCAGGGGAAGGGTGTAGGTGAAAAGGATGCTTCAAATCCAGCCTCTAGTGTGGTGGGGATTTGGGTGGGGAGCAACCCTTGAATCAGAACAGGTCTAATGATTTGATTCTGCTGAGACATTTGAAAATAAAACAGCAGGTTCCAGGAGAGCCTGTCAATTCTAGCAGCCAGTGTAGTGGAGTCAGCTTGGGCTTTGGAGTCAAACAGACTCAGGTTCAATACTGGCTGTGTCATTTGTTTCATCCTGCCAAACCTGCAGCCAGAGTTGCCCCAAAAGCAGCAGCAGGGGAGTTCACACAAAGGAGTGCCCCAAACCGTCCTGAGATGGGATTCCAAAGAAAGTACTAAACACTGAAGCAATCGGTACAAAGCATTTATTAGGGGAACTTTCCTATAGACAGTGTGCTGCAGCAGTTGTCCAGATGGATAGCAAAAGAAAAGTGATGTCCTACCTAGGTGTGCCAGCAGGGAAGGGGTCAGGGTATGAAGTGTATATAAAGGCTTAAAGAATTTGGCTAAGGATGTTTTTTTCCTTTTTGAGATGGAGTCTTGCTTTGTCACCAGGCTGGAGTGCAGCTGACCTTGTGACCCACCTGCCTCGGCCTCCCAAAGTGCTGGTATTACAGACGTGAGCTACCGCGCCTGGTGTTTTTTTCTCTCTTAAACCTGTGTATCTTTGTCAGTGCCTGCTTCAGGCCCTGATTTGGATTCAAGCCTTTTGGGGAAAACTTGCAGTGGGCTGGGTCACAAAGCAGGCAAAGCATTCTGCTTTTTGGTCAGGACACAGAAAGAAAGCAGGCGGAACTGAAGGACCCTGCACGCCTATCAGCTTGGACAGGTCAGTCTGTCACTCAGTGTCTCCAAGCCCTCTCTCCTTGTTCAGGTTGTCAGAAGACCCCAGACAATGCTTGGAAAGTGCCTGCCCTCACAGTGGGGCCCCCAGCTATGACCAGGTGGTAGGGACGTCCCAGCCCTGCTGCTGGGGGCACTAAGGTTTGCTGGCTCTCTTGCTCTTATAAAAAGGAGTGCCATTCTTTCTCCCAGCACAGAGATGTCATCTACAAGAGTAGGTACAGGAGGATTTCAAAATATGTCTTCGAAGCTTGTCACTAGACGTTTATCTTCACAGCATATTTATCTTATTATAAATGAACTCTAAAAATGTTTAGGTAGCAAACAATAAGAGAAAACAAGGCTAAGTCCTTTTTTTTTTGTAGAGACAGGTTCTCACCATGTTGCTCAAGGTGGTCCAAACTCCTGGGCTCAAACAACTGATCCTCCCACGTTGGCCTCCCGAAATGCTGGAATTACAGGCAAGAGCCATCACACCCAGTCTCATCTCCCTGTCTGAGTCCCTCCTACCTCCCATGTGCACACTGCTTCTCCCAGCTCCATCTCTAGGAGTCTGCTCCACATTCCACCCTCCCTTAAAATCTAGATTTTAACTTGTCTTGGCCCTCAGTGCCCCATGCTGTCACTAATTTTAACTATTTGCACATTTGTTTTTTTTTTCCTTGAGACAGAGTCTCACTCTGTTGCCATCCTGGAGCGCAATGGCGCAATCTCAGCTCACTGCAACCTCTGCCTCGTGGGTTTAAGCAATTATCTTACCTCAGCCTTTGGAGTAGCTGGGACTACAGGCCCACACCACCACGCCTGACTAATTTTTGTATTTTTAGTAGAGACAGGGTTTCACCATGTTGGCCAGGATGGTCTCATGATCCGCCTGCCTCAGCCTCCCAAAGTGCTGCGATTACAGGCGTGAGCCACCGTGCCCAGCTGCACATTTGCATTTTAAAGTAAAGCCTGGGCCGCGCGCATTGGTTCATGCCTGTAATCCCAGCACTTTGGGAAACTGAGGTGGGCAGATTGCCTGAGTTTAGGTGTTCAAAACCAGCCTGGGCAATAAGGTGAAACCTGCCTCTACTAAAAATGCAAAAAATTAGCTGGGCATGGTGGTGGGCCCCTGTAATCAGCTACTCAGGAGGCTGAAGCAGGAGAAACTGTTGAACCCAGGAGGAGAAAGTTGCAGGGAGCTGAGATCACACTACTGCACTTCAACCTAGGTGACAGAGCGACACTCTGTCTTATAAATAAATAAAGCCTGTAGGCTGATGTGTTGGCTGCTAATCCCAGTATTTTTGGAGGCAAAGGTGGGAAGATCATTTGAGCTCAGGAGTTCCAGACTAGCCTGGGCAACATAGCCACGACACATCACTTGGTGCCCCCACCCTGCCATTTCCCAACGCCATCTCTCAAAAAACAATAAAATAAAATAAAGCAAGTTTGTTGTTATTCAAGACCCAGAATCTTCTGTTTTGGAAGAAGCAAAGTGTGGTTAGAAACACAAGCAGGTAAGTCTTGTGAAATAGCAGCTGCAAGGCCGGTGCGATAGCTCACACCTGTAATCTCAGCACTTTGGGAGGCCAAGGCAGGCAGATCACTTGAAGTCAGGAGTTTGGGACCAGCCTGGCCAACATGATGAACTGTTTCTACTAATAATAGAAAAATGAGCCTCAGCCTGCCTCAGTAGGTAGAACCACAGGTACACACCACCATGCCTGGCTAATTTTAAATTTATTATTATTACTACTACTATTATGTTTGTATAGTATCCCTATATTGTTCAGGCTGGTCTTGAATTGCTGGGCTCGAGTGATCTTCCCACCTTGCCCTCCCAAAGTGTTGGGATTACAGGCATGAGCCACCATCCCCAGCCTCCTCTATACGTCTTTTTGGTCCACTTTTTTTTTTACAATTTTTTTTAAACTTATTTGTAGAGACGAGGTCATGCTATATTGCCTAAGGTGGTCTCAAACTCTTGGACTCAAGCAATCCGTGCACCTTGGCCTCCAAAAGTGCTCTGGAATTACAGGTGTGAGCCACCGTGCCTGGCCCTTGTATACTTTTATCGTTCCATTTTTTTCACTTTGAAATCTTTGACCCACTTGGCACTTATCTTGATGTATGGTGAATGAGCCATGACTGTAGCACTGCACTCCAGCCTTGACAACAGAGGGAAACCTTATCTCAAAAGATACATGCATACATACATAGGCCAGGCACAGTGGCTCACACCTAGAATCCCAGCACTTTGGGAGGCTGAGGTGGATGGCTGCCATATTGTACTTCACAGGACAATAAAATGGAGGTGACAATGATGGGGTGGAGGTTGGGGTAAAGTGAAAGGAGGGAAACCATTGCTGAGATGGGAAAAAAAAAGTAAGGGGGCACCAAAAGACTCAGCAATCCAGATAAATGTCTTGATTATCTGATAACTGAGGTAAGATATATTGCATTGAACTATTATTTACTTTGATTACTGAAGGGTTCAGGAGAAACACCTTCTGAAATTCAGCCCTGGAGGACTGGCCTCACCCTAATCCTGGCCGTGGCTAATAGTAATGCCCACCTCCTAAAGCTGTTGAGTGAATTAGAGCCCTGAGCCCGAGGCTGGCATTGGGATGGGCACAGTTTATATTTTTTGACCTGGTTGTTTGTTCAACAGGCATCCTGCAGGGGGAGCATGACTAGCTGAGTGTCACTATCGGATCTTTGATACCTTCCTGCTTTTCTGAAATCAAATAAGAGACATAAACTCCCAAGTCCACTGTCGTGTGAGGAAGGAGGACGGGAAAGGTAAATGCAGAGGCTGCAGGCGGCAGTCTGTGTCTCAGAGAGACTTACCCAACTTTGCTGGGGGCCTTGACGCCCATCTTCCCCCAGAGCACCCGGCAGACACCCCAGCCCTCTGGTGTCCTCCCACCCCGAGCCCGATCTTCCCCCTTGACGCCTGCCCCGGGCCAATAGCCTCCTAACTGCGTCCTCTCTGAGTCTGTCGTGCTTATCACGGCCTATCCGTGGTTTCTTCTCTCCACAAAGGTTTACTGAGCGTCTTTAAATCTCCAGGCACCAGACTAGTGCGGGGAAACGGGGATAAGTGTTGATGAGGGTCTCAGCCCTCCGTGATGGGATTTCAGAGGGGAGGGAAAGGACTGCCCAGAAGGGTGGTGAGTGGAGTAGTTGACAGAAATAACGGGGTGCGATGAAATACGTAGGAGGGCTGCCAGTCACCTATGGGGCGGGTGCGGAGGGCCGTTAATTAAGGGAGGCTTCCCGGACGGCTGACACCCAAGCGGAATCCCGATAACCTGCGTCGGGAATAGCCAGGCGAGGAGGAGGAGGTGAGAGGAATCCGCGTCCCAAGCAGAGAGGAAGCTTTCCCTACACGGCACAGGACACGGTCCGTGCATAGATGCCACCGGAGGCGCAGGCGCTGGGGAGAACCCCTGCCGGGCCCCTCGCCGTCCACGCGCCGCCTCCCTACAACCGGTATCTGATGGTCAGCCTCCAGCCTGGCAGAGGGGAATGAGCCCCTCGTCCAGCAGGTATGAGGCTGGTGACGAACGAAAGACCCAGCGCAGCCTGGTCTCCTCTTGTGATGAGGCCTTGCGACCTCGTCTTTCTCCAGGAAAACGTGGACCGCTCTCCGCCGACAGGTCTCTTCCACAGACCCATCTTGCCTTCGCCCCCAGTCTCTTTCGGTTCTGTCTTTTGGCTGGATTGACACAAACAAGGAAGTCGCCCCCAACGGAGCCCCGGCCCTTGACAGCGGAGGCGGCCAGGGGACGGAGTCAAACGAGGTGATCACGCCTCCCGGGGGAAAGGGCGGGGCATGCAAATCTGAAATGAAAGCCCGGAAACGCGGGAATAGCAAGGGTAAAAGATTTCTCCTTTAAAACGTGGAGAATAAAAAAATCAGCCCGAGTGTGTAATGGCGTGAATAGCGGTGTGGACGAGACAAAGAGAATGAGGCAAGGAGCGAGGCTGGGGCTCTCACCGCGACTTGAATGTGGATGAGGGTGGGACGGTGACGGCGGGGACGGAGACGGCAGCATCGCTTCTCGGCCTTTTGGCTAAGATCAAGTGTAGTATCTGTTCTTATCAGTTTAATATCTGATACGTCCTCTATCCGAGGACAATATATTAAATGGATTTTTGGAGCAGGGAGATGGAATAGGAGCTTGCTCCGTCCACTCCACGCATCGACCTGGTATTGCAGTACTTCCAGGAACGGTGCACCCCCCCCCTCGGGGGGATACAATATGTTTACAAGATCAGAAAAGGATGATGCTTGCTCTTACGGTATCACGTTTCACAACAGGGTTTTGGAAAGCGATGGTTCGACCCGAAAGAGGGGGTGCTATGTCTGTTGCTCCACTTGGACTCGGGTTTTTTTTTTTGTTTTTTTTTTTTNTTTTTTTTTTTTTGCCTTTTGTTGCCTAGGATGCAGTGCAAAGGTGCGGTCTAGGCTCACTGCAACCTCTGCTTCTTCACTTCAAGCGATTTTCCTGTCTCAACCTCCCCAGTAGCTGGGATTACAGCCGTACCCGGCCAATTTTTGTGTTCCTTGTAAAGAAGGGGCTTCACCATGTCTCCTGACCTCAGAAGATCCACCCACCTGGGTCTCCTAAAGTGCTGGGATTGCAAGTCTTAGCCTGGACCCCCTTCCAAACTTCAGCCCCTGGAGTAGGTGGCACTTTAAGGCAGGCACCAACGTGCCGGCTACAAACTTCCTTTCTTACCCAGGAAAAACCTGGGTACAGCTAGTTTATTTATCGAGGAACACAGAGGAGCAGAACTTGAGTTCAAGCATTGTGTGCATATGTGCAATGATGGCCTTGACCGCCTATCTTCCCCCAGAGCACTTGGCACACAGCCCTGCCCTTTGGTGTCCTCCCAACCCAAGCCTGATCTTCCCCCTTTACCTCCCTGCCCCAGGCCAATGGCCTCCTAACTTGCGTCCTCTCTGATTGAGTGTTGTGCTCATCACGGCCTCTCCGTCATTTATTCGCTCCGCAAAGGTTTACTGAGTGCCTTCAACTCGCCAGGCACCAGACTAGCGCGGTGGGGGGAAGGGGATAAGTGTTGATGAGGGTCCCAGCCCTCGGTGATGGGATTTCAGAGGGGGAGACAAAGGATTGCCCAGGAGGGTAGTAAGTGGACTGGCTGATAGAAATAACGGGATGCGATAAAATACATAGGAGGGCTGCTAGTCACATATGGGGCATGAAGCAGCACTTCATGCTACTGATGCATCTTTAGGCTCTATTCTACGTGTGTATGTCGTTTTAAGGATCAGCCACCAGCAGCTGCCTAGCAACCATGATGACAATCTCTCCAGACTCTTTTGGGTCTCCTCTCTGTGTCTATAAATTGCATCCCAACATAATAATTGGAATTGTCCCTTTTGCTGACCCAATCTGTCACCCCTTCCAAACTCCAGGAATCTTGTCTGTCCTCAGCAAAACTCCCCCCGGCTTCTTTCTCTAAAGGCTGTCTTCAGGCCAGACACAGCGGCCCATGCGTGTAATCCCAGCACTTTGGGAGGCCCAGGTGGGAGGATGGCTTGAGCCCAGGAGGCCACAGTGAGGTGAGATCACACCATTACACTCCAGCCTAGGTGGCAGAGCCAGAGCCCTGTCTGAAAACAAAGCACAAAAGAAAGAGACTAGGCAATGTAGTGAAACCCTGTTCATGGTGACAAATATCTGTACACCAGCTACTTCAGAGGCTGAGGCAGGAGGATCAACTGAGCCTGGGAGGTGGATGCTGCAGTAAGCTGTGCACTGCACTCCAGCCTTGGTGACAGAACCAGACCCCATCTCAAATAAATAAAAATAAAGGAACCAAAAAGGGTGGAAGCACAAGTGGGTCCCATTGAATGTCAAGCCTTCGAGCTACGGCCATAACTGGACAGGTTGGACCAGCAGGCGTGAGCAGTTGCCATCTTGGCAGGGATTAATGACTCTGATCCATCCTCAGGAGGGAGTGGTGCTCGTACGCAGGGAGGGCAGGTGGAATATGCGTGGACTCTGGAGATCTGTTTGGGTGACAGGTGTTACTCCCCGGTCCACCTGTGAAATGAATGGACAAGTGCAGGAACCCTGACTTGAGAAGGGTGTGGCCTCGAGGGGTATAGGCCCCTCGGGAATGAGAGTTTCGTTCGCAGTACCAGGGAAACCACCAGTACCAGCAGAGGTGATAGCTGAGGATCAGAGGGGATTTGGAGGGGAGAGGACAGGAGACACAGGATGAGTACCGTGTGACCAACTGCAAAAGAGGGGCTGTCATTAGACTCACTCACTTTCTGTAGCTCTGTGCAGTACAAAAGAGCAGGAGACAGAAGAATGGCAAGTAAAAGGGGGCCGGAAAATAACTGGAACAAACCCACGCTTTCCTGATTGACGTTGACAGTCATATACAGGTACAGGCAGGCAGAGGCATGTTCTCTTCACCTGGTTTTGAAATCAGTCTCTCTGTTAGAGTACAAGGCTATCTGAAGGTACACAGTGACCATCAACATTTACCAAGCTTTGGGCAAATGTTAAGTGTCATTGTTGTTGCTTTGATCTGACATTGTTTTCTATTACATAGTGCACAAAAACTTTCTGGATTTTTATTAAAAGAGCATCTTCTGTGCTACATGCAAATATATGATTTGAGAAATGCTGACCCCTGGCTGTTAAAGTATAAAAAAGTTTTCTTGTCTCAGAACAACGTTAGAGGAGACGTCAACTCACTGCTCCTAGAATGGCAGCCACTCCACGATTTCACGAACTCAATAAACGGTCTCGTTTGTTGTTTAGCACCATTAGGTAAGACCACTATTTTGACAGAGGTTTCTAGAGCGTGTAACAATGACATCGGTCTTGCAGTTAAAACAAAGCCTAACGCAGAGTTTAAAAAAAAAAAAAAAGAAAAGAAAAAGAAAAAGAAAAGAAAAGAAAAGAAAAAAACAAACAAACAAACAAAAAAACAATGACATCGGATACCAAGAAATCAGTAACGGGCTTGATTATATGCTATGGCTACTCTCAACCCCCCAACTTCCTGTCGAGTCAAGGTCCCTCTGACCTGCTTTCTGCATCTGCCTCTCCAGAAACAGGGCAGACACAGGATTGTCATATGTGCTTGCTTCTACCCTCTGCCCCTAATGATGCCAAGGACTCTGTTCTCAATAAGGCCCCCCTCCCATAGGTCCCTACTACCTCTCCCTGGCACTGGCTCCACTTCTCTGCAGCTTGGACGTGAGCATAACCCGTTGTCCATGAGGCACAGGATGAGTAGCAGAGGCAGCCCCGTGACCAACTGCAGCAAGAAAGGCTGTCGTTTGACTCACTACCCTTTATGCAGCTCTATGCAGTACAAAAGAGCAGGAGAAAAGAACGGCAAGTGGAAGGAGAGGCAGAAAATTACCAGAACAAATACACATATATGACCATGGCCTTGGGTTTTCATTTCCTTATGAGCGCTCCTGTGTCATACAAAACTTACATTGGGTGGCCAGGCACGGTGGGTCACGCCTATAATCCCAGCACTTTGGGAGGCTGAGGCAGGCAGATCACCTCAGGTCAGGAGTTTGAGACCAGCCTGACCAACATGGAGAAACCCCATCTCTACTAAAAATACAAAAAATTAGCCAGAGGTGGTGGCGCATGCCTGTAATTCCAGCTACTCAGGAGGCTGAGGCAGGAGAATCGCCTGAACCCGGGAGGCAGAGGGTGCAGTGAGCTGAGACCGTGCCATTACACTCCAGCCTGGGCAACAAGAGTGAAACTCCATCTCAAAAAACAAAAACACCTTACATTGAGTGCCTATGCTTTCCTCCTGCTAATCTATCTGATGTCAGTTTGATTCTCGGGCCCAGCGGGGACCCTAAGAGGACAGAGGTAAAGTTTTGCCTCGCTACACAGTCATTGCCCACTCCCACCCTCACTTTCCGTCAACCACTGATCTGTATGTCTACAGAGTTCCCTTTCCTGGCATTTCACATAAAGGGAGTCACACAGTCTGTGGTCTTTTGCATCTGATGGATGTCTTTCTCTGAGCATAATGTTTCCTGAGGTTCATCCGTTGTGGCATGTGCCATTATGTTTTCATTCCTGAATGTCACATTCTGTTTATCCGTTCACCCACCGATGGACGTTTGAGTAGTTTTCAGTTCAGAGCTATTCGAATAACGCTGCTCTAACCATTTGCCTCTAAGTCTTTATAAAAACATACACATGTTGTCACTTCTCTCGGCCTGCCTGCTCGTTACACACTGGCGTACCAGGGATTCTGAAATATGAACTCTCTTCTCTTACACAAAATATTAACCCTGCATCATCTCTCCCAGTCTACGGGGACCACCTGTATACCTCACCCCTGATCACAGAAACAGAAGGCCTCAAGATTTTTTTTTTTTTTTTTTTTTTTTTTTTAAAAAGGGTCTTCCTCTGTGGCCCATGGTGGAGTGCAGTGGCTTGACCATGGCTCACTGCAACCTCAACCTCCCGGGCTCAAGCGACCCTTCACCTCAGCCTTCTGAGGTGCCGGGACTACAGGTGCATGCCACCACCCCCGGTCTCAACTCCTTAGAATCAGCCTTGCTCACATACATTGGCCATCTCCCTTCAGGCCTTTCTGCCTCAACTTGCTGATTCTGTATTGTATAACCCCAGAAAGTGTTCTAAAAGCCACTCAGCCACCAGCGTAGACATCTGGAGTTACATCACTTGTTATCCGAATCCATGTGGTCCCCAAGTTTCAGATACTGGTAGTGAGAGTTGAGATCTCAAAAAATATTTGCTGCTTCTCTCTCCCTTATTCCCCCTCCTTCTGTCATCAAGTCCCAGAGCAGAATGCTTCTCAAACTCTAATCTGCATGTGCATTCTGGGGAACCTTGTTGACATGCAGATTCTGATGCAATAGGTCTGGAGCCAGTGATTCTACACTTCTAACCCACTCCCAGATGATGTCAGTGGTGCTGGTCTGGGGACCACACTGTGAGCAGCAAGGCTGTAGCAAGATGTTCCATCTCTACCAAATACCTTTTTTAAAAAGAGGCATGCTGGGCACAGTGGATCCTGCCTGTAATCCCAACACTTTGGGAGGCCGAGGTGGATGGATCACCTGAGGTCAAGAGTTCAAGACCANGCCTCAGCCTGCCTCAGTAGGTAGAACCACAGGTACACACCACCATGCCTGGCTAATTTTAAATTTATTATTATTACTACTACTATTATGTTTGTATAGTATCCCTATATTGTTCAGGCTGGTCTTGAATTGCTGGGCTCGAGTGATCTTCCCACCTTGCCCTCCCAAAGTGTTGGGATTACAGGCATGAGCCACCATCCCCAGCCTCCTCTATACGTCTTTTTGGTCCACTTTTTTTTTTACAATTTTTTTTAAACTTATTTGTAGAGACGAGGTCATGCTATATTGCCTAAGGTGGTCTCAAACTCTTGGACTCAAGCAATCCGTGCACCTTGGCCTCCAAAAGTGCTCTGGAATTACAGGTGTGAGCCACCGTGCCTGGCCCTTGTATACTTTTATCGTTCCATTTTTTTCACTTTGAAATCTTTGACCCACTTGGCACTTATCTTGATGTATGGTGAATGAGCCATGACTGTAGCACTGCACTCCAGCCTTGACAACAGAGGGAAACCTTATCTCAAAAGATACATGCATACATACATAGGCCAGGCACAGTGGCTCACACCTAGAATCCCAGCACTTTGGGAGGCTGAGGTGGATGGCTGCCATATTGTACTTCACAGGACAATAAAATGGAGGTGACAATGATGGGGTGGAGGTTGGGGTAAAGTGAAAGGAGGGAAACCATTGCTGAGATGGGAAAAAAAAAGTAAGGGGGCACCAAAAGACTCAGCAATCCAGATAAATGTCTTGATTATCTGATAACTGAGGTAAGATATATTGCATTGAACTATTATTTACTTTGATTACTGAAGGGTTCAGGAGAAACACCTTCTGAAATTCAGCCCTGGAGGACTGGCCTCACCCTAATCCTGGCCGTGGCTAATAGTAATGCCCACCTCCTAAAGCTGTTGAGTGAATTAGAGCCCTGAGCCCGAGGCTGGCATTGGGATGGGCACAGTTTATATTTTTTGACCTGGTTGTTTGTTCAACAGGCATCCTGCAGGGGGAGCATGACTAGCTGAGTGTCACTATCGGATCTTTGATACCTTCCTGCTTTTCTGAAATCAAATAAGAGACATAAACTCCCAAGTCCACTGTCGTGTGAGGAAGGAGGACGGGAAAGGTAAATGCAGAGGCTGCAGGCGGCAGTCTGTGTCTCAGAGAGACTTACCCAACTTTGCTGGGGGCCTTGACGCCCATCTTCCCCCAGAGCACCCGGCAGACACCCCAGCCCTCTGGTGTCCTCCCACCCCGAGCCCGATCTTCCCCCTTGACGCCTGCCCCGGGCCAATAGCCTCCTAACTGCGTCCTCTCTGAGTCTGTCGTGCTTATCACGGCCTATCCGTGGTTTCTTCTCTCCACAAAGGTTTACTGAGCGTCTTTAAATCTCCAGGCACCAGACTAGTGCGGGGAAACGGGGATAAGTGTTGATGAGGGTCTCAGCCCTCCGTGATGGGATTTCAGAGGGGAGGGAAAGGACTGCCCAGAAGGGTGGTGAGTGGAGTAGTTGACAGAAATAACGGGGTGCGATGAAATACGTAGGAGGGCTGCCAGTCACCTATGGGGCGGGTGCGGAGGGCCGTTAATTAAGGGAGGCTTCCCGGACGGCTGACACCCAAGCGGAATCCCGATAACCTGCGTCGGGAATAGCCAGGCGAGGAGGAGGAGGTGAGAGGAATCCGCGTCCCAAGCAGAGAGGAAGCTTTCCCTACACGGCACAGGACACGGTCCGTGCATAGATGCCACCGGAGGCGCAGGCGCTGGGGAGAACCCCTGCCGGGCCCCTCGCCGTCCACGCGCCGCCTCCCTACAACCGGTATCTGATGGTCAGCCTCCAGCCTGGCAGAGGGGAATGAGCCCCTCGTCCAGCAGGTATGAGGCTGGTGACGAACGAAAGACCCAGCGCAGCCTGGTCTCCTCTTGTGATGAGGCCTTGCGACCTCGTCTTTCTCCAGGAAAACGTGGACCGCTCTCCGCCGACAGGTCTCTTCCACAGACCCATCTTGCCTTCGCCCCCAGTCTCTTTCGGTTCTGTCTTTTGGCTGGATTGACACAAACAAGGAAGTCGCCCCCAACGGAGCCCCGGCCCTTGACAGCGGAGGCGGCCAGGGGACGGAGTCAAACGAGGTGATCACGCCTCCCGGGGGAAAGGGCGGGGCATGCAAATCTGAAATGAAAGCCCGGAAACGCGGGAATAGCAAGGGTAAAAGATTTCTCCTTTAAAACGTGGAGAATAAAAAAATCAGCCCGAGTGTGTAATGGCGTGAATAGCGGTGTGGACGAGACAAAGAGAATGAGGCAAGGAGCGAGGCTGGGGCTCTCACCGCGACTTGAATGTGGATGAGGGTGGGACGGTGACGGCGGGGACGGAGACGGCAGCATCGCTTCTCGGCCTTTTGGCTAAGATCAAGTGTAGTATCTGTTCTTATCAGTTTAATATCTGATACGTCCTCTATCCGAGGACAATATATTAAATGGATTTTTGGAGCAGGGAGATGGAATAGGAGCTTGCTCCGTCCACTCCACGCATCGACCTGGTATTGCAGTACTTCCAGGAACGGTGCACCCCCTCTCGGGGGGGAAAAAGAGCGGTGTGATTAAAAGCAGACGAAGGAGTTCATAAGGGGTTTTGTGGGTGGATTTTTCTTCTCAGGTGTCGCTTGCTCGGAGTGCTGTGAGTGCACCTTTGTCTGCTGGGCACTGAGTGAGGTTCTTTAGCGGTGCTTCTCCCGTGTGTGTCATGTTTTGAGATTTTAGCGACGTGTTGTTTGCTGGCAACATGACACAGCGAGGAAAAAATATACTGGTAAGCGTTTAGACTCCCGCAGTTGAGACGTGACGCGAAAGTAAAATAGCAAGCCATTTTGTTTGGTCGCCCCCGTTATCTAGTGTTCCGGTTACTTCCGTTCTTGGGTTTTTTTCTTCTCTCTTCTTTTTGTTGGAGACAAGTCTGGCTTTGTTGCCCAGGCTGGAGTGTAGGGGGCGCGATCTCCGCTCATTCTAACTTCCCGTTCCCGGGTTTAGGCCATTCTCCCGCCTCAGCCTCCCCAGGACTCTTGGGGACTGCAGGCATGCACCACCACGCCCTAGGCTAGCTTTTCTTTTCTTTTTTT